TCACCTACAGCCTCTGCTCTATCTTCCCTTCCTCACGAACCAACAAAACCTCGATCCTTTCTCCAAAAACCCCTAAACCGAATTAGGGTTTCAGAAAAACAAGAACAATACGCTAACTTCAAAAGTACACAGAGAACGTATCATACCTCAGTATCAAGATCGGGAACATGATCTGAAAACTAGACAGAGAGATCTAACCAATGGTATGAGGATCGTCTTCTGACTCCTTCTGGTTCGACGGAAATCCTCCCTCGAAGTGGACTAATCGCAGATCCGAAACTGCAGAAACCTTTCTCAGTAAAACAATCATAACTCCTAGAATAAACATCCGATTGACAAAACGTTTTCTCCTATATCAAGGTCAGAGAGTGCAGAAGTTAATCTATAAGTTTTGCTCTGATCCGATCTATTATTACTGGCCGTTACTGTCCTCTTCTAAAAACGGACAGAACTGCCTCTAAAAACGGATCTCTTCCTCAAAACTGTTTTCTCTCCTTTTCTCTCTGAAAAACGCAGCCTCTCTATGCTGCTCGGCTTTTATACAGAAGCTCTAGGTCTCCATTAACCAAAACACCAAACCGACGATTAAAATCGAACCAACCAGTTCAATTCGACTTTCCAAAATTCTCAATTTTTGGTCCACGGGCGTTACAAAAGTTGTCAATACCTCGGGATTAAGTCTAACGACCCATGAGTACTTAACAGTAAAGTAAAAGGAAACTAACAACCCCAAGCGAAGTGGTGATTACTTAGCTGTAGTTTTCGACTATCTGATTTCTTTCATCGACCCGTTCTTTGCTCTTTCTTTCTCGAAATCTTAGTCGAATCCTTCTAGTGCTTTGATGTTGTTGCATGCTCTAAATGTGTATTTTCTCATTCATTAAGAATTTGGTATTTATTTTGGTGCAAAACAGATAGTTTGGTATTAAAAGGACCGTTTTCGCTTATGGGATTTTTCTTTATTCTTATCTCAAAACGACCGATTTAATGGTTACAGTAAACAGTAGTTAACGTTTTCAATTTGACAAAAAAAATTGACTAATTTTATATCTAATTTGATCGAATCAACAGAAATTTATTTATTTTATGACTTATTAAGAAGATGATAGTTGTTTTGGGGGTAAAACGGAAAATTCAGTATGAAAATGACATTTTGCCCAATAACTAACCGTATGTATTGATTGTGAGACATTTCCAAACCTTTCCATATTTTTCAAACCTTTTTAATTTACAACAACCTATATATTGATTCATACAACAACGGTAATATACATTTATATATTAAGCCTTACCCTTATAGTTAAACCTTCCAAAGAGTACAATTACTTGACTAGTTTCAATATTTCTTGGTCAACTTGAGCTTCTCGATCACAAACATGCCTTCTTTATACCTCTGTTTGAGATCGAAGGTCTCAACATACTTCCAACCCAACGTCTCACCACACTTACTACACATCACATCTGCCACCACGTACGATCCGGTTAGCAATTTTCTCCCAATCTTCGGTCCAACCACTACGTTCATCGCGTGCGCAAACATAAACGCTGGCCCCGAAGTTCCCTAATTAAATCCAGTGTAACATATTAAAAAAAAAAAACGTCTTGTATTTGTTGTAACCAATCTCTATAATATTAAAAGAGAAATACATTTAGGAGAATGTCCAAAATTAATTCCAATATTACTCAAATTGCCATTGTTTTATAACTAAATTGATTAAATTGAAAAGGATAATTTTGAACTAATGCAATGGCAATTTCAGTAATTTTGAATACAATTTCGGCTATTTTTATGTTATGAATTAGTTGCATTTTCGTTTTTATTTTTATAGCACATTAATGACATTTTTTTTATTTTTAGGAAAGTTTTGTAAAATCAGCATTAATTCACAAATATTTAATTACCAATCAATTTTTTTTAAAAATATTTAATATCCGTTTATATCAACATA